CTAGCTATCGAATGCGACCATCAGAAATTGGATTGGACGATCGGTGTAGAAAAAATAGGGGACTCAAAATTTCAATCCGTGATTTGACCTTTAAGGTCAAATATTTTTAATAAGGTATATATTAGGGAACTCGAGATTCTGACCCTCGCTATCGAATGCGACCATCAGAAATTGGATCAGACGATCGGTGTAGAAAAAATAGGGGCCTCAAAATTTCAATCCGTGATTTGACCTTTAAGGTCAAATATTTTTAATAAGGAATATACTAGGGAACTCGAGATTCTGACCCTAGCTATCGAATGCGACCATCAGAAATTGGATCGGACGATCGGTGTAAAAAAAATAGGGGGACTCAAAATTTCAATCCGTGATTTGACCTTTAAGGTCAAATATTTTTAATAAGATACATAGTAAGGAATTCGAGATTCTGACCCTAGCTATCGAATGCGACCATCAGAAATCGGATCGGACGATCGGTGTAGAAAAAATCGGGGGACTCAAAATTTCAATCCGTGATGTGACCTTTAAGGTCGAATATCCGTGATTTGACCTTTAAGGTCAAATATTTTTAATAAGGTATATATTAGGGAACTCGAAATTTTGACCCTAGCTAGCGAATGCGACCATCAGAAATTGGATCGGACGATCGGTGTAGAAAAAATAGGGGGATCTAAAATTTCAATCCGATCCGATCCGACCTTTAAGGTCAAATATTTTTAATAAGGTATATATTAGGGAACTCGAGATTCTTACCCTAGCTATCGAATGCGACCATCAGAAATTGGATTGGACGATCGGTGTAGAAAAAATAGGGGGACTCAAAATTTCAATCCGTGATTTGACCTTTAAGGTCAAATATTTTTAATAAGGTATATATAAGGGAACTCGAGATTCTGACCCTTGCTATCGAGTACGACCATCAGAAATTGGATTGGACGATCGGTGTAGAAAAAATAGGGGGACTCAAAATTTCAATCCGTGATTTGACCTTTAAGGTCAAATATTTTTAATAAGGTATATATTAGGGAACTCGAGATTCTGACCCTAACTATCGAATGCGTCCATCAGAAATTGGATCGGACGATCGGTGTAGAAAAAATAGGGGGACTCAAAATTTCAATCCGTGATTTGACCTTTAAGGTCAAATATTTTTAATAAGGTATATATTAGGGAACTCGAGATTTTGACCCTAGCTATCGAATGCGACCATCAGAAATCGGATCGGACGATCGGTGTTGAAAAAATTGGGGACTCAAAAATTCAATCCGTGATTTGACCTTTAAGGTCAAATATTTTTAATAAGGTATATATGAAGGAACTCGAGATTCTGACCCTAGCTATCGAATGCGACCTTCAGAAATTGGATCGGACGATCGGTGTAGAAAAAATCGGGGGACTCAAAATTTCAATCCGTGATGTGACCTTTAAGGTCGAATATCCGTGATTTGACCTTTAAGGTCAAATATTTTTAATAAGGTATATATTATGGAACTCGAGATTCTGACCCTAGCTATCGAATGCGACCATCAGAAATTGGATCGGACGATCGGTGTAGAAAAAATAGGGGGACTTAAAATTTCAATCCGTGATTTGACCTTTAAGGTCAAATATTTTTAATAAGGTATATATTAGGGAACTCGAGATTCTTACCCTAGCTATCGAATGCGACCATCAGAAATTGGATTGGACGATCGGTGTAGAAAAAATAGGGGGACTCAAAATTTCAATCCGTTTTTTTACCTTTAAGGTCAAATATTTTTAATAAGGTATATATTAGGGAACTCGAGATTCTGACCCTCGCTATCGAATACGACCATCAGAAATTGGATTGGACGATCGGTGTAGAAAAAATAGGGGGACTCAAAATTTCAATCCGTGATTTGACCTTTAAGGTCAAATATTTTTAATAAGGTATATATTAGGGAACTCGAGATTCTGACCCTAACTATCGAATGCGACCATCAGAAATTGGATCGGACGATCGGTGTAGAAAAAATAGGGGGACTCAAAATTTCAATCCGTGATTTGACCTTTAAGGTCAAATATTTTTAATAAGGTATATATTAGGGAACTCGAGATTCTGACCCTAGCTATCGAATGCGGCCATCAGAAATTGGATTAGACGATCGGTGTAGAAAAAATAGGGGGACTCAAAATTTCAATCCGTGATTTGACCTTGAAGGTCAAATATTTTCAATAAGGTATATATTAGGGAATTCGAGATTCTGACCCTAGCTTTCGAATGCGACCTTCAGAAATCGGATCGGACGATCGGTGTAGGAAAAATCGGGGTCTCAATTTCAATTCGTGATTTGACCTTGAAGATGACCTTGAATTTTGAAATGAATACGATATTCGGAATCAGCGTCCCAAACTGCATCAGATAGGTTGGGTTTAGTTGAAATTCGGACTCGACGCTGAATCCGTCGCGGAATACGACGCTAACTTCACGGACGTGACCAGCAGAGGGATTGACCCAATCGTGGAGCGATTCTCCGACGTTCAAAGACGTGTGTTCCATAGAAATGGACGGCGGCTCGTCTTTTGCAGAAACAACACTGATGCGTTTGGACGCGAACAAAATAAAACTGCCTCCAAACCACAAAAAAGCAAGCAAACAATAAAGGTAACTAAAATGATTATCACTGTGACAGCGCCTATATAAACAAGAAGAAGTGTCATCAACCCATACAGTGACTAGTCTCATGTAGCTAGCATAAAACATAGTCAGTATGCTGTCGCACGCAATAAAATAACGTCCAACTACGCTAATAAAATTCACAACAGTCAATTGTGCCACGAATGCTTTTATTGTTAAAAACATCGCAATCTGTTCTGTCCCACAAATCGTACCTAATCATCAGTTCATATCACGCCTAACAAGATAGGCGACAGCTCACGATGACTTGCCTCAAGAACAGATAAGCCCAGCGAGGGCCATCTAAGCTGTCCGAGGGTCACCACGCGCACACCTGACCTGACCGGCGTGACCGCCCTAATTGTGCCGTCACAGCGTGACAACGCCTAACGGCCACCCCTGGCACGCCATGCGCGTACACACCGGATAGTTGATAGCATCCGTGTGCCTACACCGGCGCTCCGCCACGCGCGACCAGCTCGCATGACTAGGCAGAACGGTCGAACACAGCGGAAATGTGGCGTGACGCACCGACGAACTGTGCACGCGCTCAGGTGACCGGGGACGGGTGTGTGTCGTACAGAAAGTTCTCGACTGGCCATTGGTGAGAGTAGTTTAGGAGATGAATAGGTACTGAGTGCTAGTCTAGACTGGGAGTCCATGTCAGCGCTGATGTATGCTCTGTTGGACACAGCTCATTGGTGTTGGGCGTGCTGGGGCGCCGGGGCCGGCACTCAGTCTCATCACGTGGATAGGGCGTGCGCACTGACCCAGCACTGACCAATGGCCATGCAGCTTGGGATGCTGAGCTGACGCGGCTGAACAGGCTGCAGTTGAGGGCGCGGGATGCGCTGAAGTCAGCCGTAGTCAGCAGGCCGCCGGCCTTGGAGGCTCGCACATCAGGCGTTGGTAGGCGGAGGAACCGAGTTGCGCGGTGGTATGCAGCGCTCCGAAATAATAGCCGGTCAGTACTATCAACACGCACCCAGCGGATGATGGGAGCAAATTACTTACACATGATGGCGCGCCCACGAGCTCAATAGCCAGGGTCGGAATCGACAGTCACCGTGAATCGACAGGATAGCCGACACAGTTTTTGTAGTTCGAGCTAGGAAAAGAACCATCTATTTCAGCAACTGGTGCGATAGGCACGCAGCGTCGACAGAATATATGCGGACTTTTTACATCTGTCATAGCGACTATACTTTGGTGCGTCAGCTGGATATGTGACAATGGTGACTGGTAAAGCGACAAACTAATAGTTTAGCGGACTGTAGCCTTTTACAGACTGCAGGCAGAAGTAGGTACGAAGCATGGCTGTTTTTCAATTCTTAATAACAGCAGATGTGGATGTGTGAAACTACTCAGAATCAGGTCTATTATAGCCAGTGTTATAGCCTCCCATAGCCATTGTTACAGCCATTATCACCTAGCAGGAATAGGATCTTCGTTCGGTCACCTTAAAGGGACCCTCCCACCTTCAAAAAAGTTAATGAATTGGCATGAAAGTGATGTCGCTCGGTTCAGAAAGAGCAAAAACGAATATCTACCAAATTTCATCGAAAAATATTCACCGGTTTTCAAGATATTAGACTTTTACTTTTGTTTACTTTTTGGGATCTCCGCTGTTCCTAGCGACTTTATTTGAAAGTGCGGCATTTGTTGCGCGCAAAGCAGCATATACCACCGCGTGGTACAAAACGTTTTAGTCAAACATTTAACGGACGTTCGAAAGCCTGATGACGTCATCAGATTCCCGTAATGGTTAAGAGATAGGGACCACGCTGGTCCCACCCTGCAAGTAAAGGGAAGGAATTTCTTGAACACCATAAAGCTGCGGGGGTTGCGACCAAGATAAATGGTGGTTTCTGAGCCTGGCCGCAAACTTGGCTATCTCAACTCAAAACTAATGTTAAGGTGGTAGGGTCCCTTTAACCGAACGAAGATCGCTCGCCTACCATGGTTTCCTCCTCCCGACGGAACGATCATCGTCCTCTCCGAGGACGATGATCGTTCCGTCGGGAGGACCGAGGACCGAGGCCGAGTGTTCGGTGCCGCCATTATTACGCTGCTCTCGAGATCAATGTGTGTCGTTTGCACACGCCGCGGTCAGTCCGGCATCCGGTCAGCCTCCGGCGTCAGTGCACGGTTGGCATGGCAACGGCACACGGTCAGTCGATACAGCAGCGTGACACATCCCCTCCCCTTCCCAGAGGGCATTACGGCCTGTCGAGCACGCGAAGTGGCCCCCTAAACCGGCGGTTTATCGGTGTTACTGGTCCCTACACGAGACACGAAAAGCCGTGAAAATTCCCCACAGGCCAGATCATAATGCGCCATAGAAAACAGTAATCTTTATTCGTAACACCACATAGCATGCAGCGACATTAGGAAAATAGTCTGTTTTGTTTCCACCATATACAGTGCAGCTTTCAAGATGTCATTAACAGAACAATCGACGGTTTGGAGAGGAAATGACTCACCTATCAGCGGAAGAATAACATCAAACACACTTAACACTTCCGGCATAAAATTTAAGAAACTTTAAGAACATTCTAATTGGTCAGAGTGAAATCAGTCTAGGTCATGGGTCAAACATTCCGTTCCAGTATCAGAAGTGTCATAGAGCACATTGGCTAAATAATTTGATTTGATCTTATCACATCACACACATTATTAACGATTATACAAATCATCATTACAATCCGCCTTGATCAACGATATCATCTCCAAGATTCATACAGATATATCGTCATGTCTAGACCATCTCCAGGCTTCCACACTCATAAGTCATAGGAAACAGAGAGCACGGAAGGCAGTTCAGATCTGGCGTAGGAGAGTAGCCATTTGATCCACAATTCGGAGACAATTGAGCGCATCAACTGTGACCCTGTCCAGCGAAACTCCAACTCCCGACCCGGCTACCGTCAAAGCGGTGTATACCTACTTATGTCATACAAACACGAACATCCAGCTATCGATAATACACATGAATGGTCAGTAAGGATTTCATCGTAGTAAGATACAAAGTAACACAACAGGCATTAATTCTTAGCCGCAGCCTCAAATCTCTCTATCTTCTCCCGCCTCCCTTATAGAACATCTAAGGGCAGCATTAGGATCTATAACCCCTCTTGGAGTCGAAGTAGGAGGCTCTTTCTTCCCTTCAGCAGCGGCTGAGAGAATCCCTAACCGACACATCTCCCCTAAAGTTGACTTTCTTCCCGTCAGCAGCCAGCAGCTGAAGGCAAAGCTGCCTCGTCACTCCTCCTCCAGAATCGGTGCTCATCAGCGCAGTTTCTCTCCTCTCTCTGCACTCTATCAGCTCAGCTGAGACATCACTAATCCATCAGTCGCTCCATGGACTCCTAGCTCCCCCCAGTCTCACTGCACCTCTGGCAGCGGGTCGGCGGCAGCCTGTTCCGTCTGGTCCTGGCCGTGCCGCCCGCTCAGCTGCCGTCAGCGGCTGCTCAGGCCCACCAGCTCCTCGCTCAGCTGCCACAGACGCTTGGCGTCTTCGAGGCGTCGTGCGCGGCTCGACGGCGTCTTCTCGCGACAGTCGGCGTAGTAGCGGCCCGTCTTGTCGGCCAGACTGGGCTCCAGCGCGCAGTAGAGCGTCGTCTGCGCACCCTGCACGGGGGACTTGGAGACCACGGCGCGGGCGGGCGTCGCCAGCACCTTCTGCCAGGCCGGCATATGCCGGTCCAGCTCTGTACGCACCCAGCCCGGGTGCACGGCGTACGTGGTCACCCCGGTGCCCTCCAGACGGCGGCCCAGCTCGCTGGCAAACAGCACGTTCGCCAGCTTGCTCTGGCCGTACGCCTTCCACGGCGAATAGCCGGTCTTCAGCTGCAGGTCGTCAAAGTTCATCTTGCCCGACTCATGAGCCAAGGAGCTGAGCACGATGATCCGCGAGGGCGCCGCCGCCTTCACCTTATCCAGCAGTAACTCCGTCAACAGGAAGTGGCCCAAGTGGTTGGTCCCGAGCTGGCTCTCGAAGCCGTCCTGAGTTTCAGAGCGCGGGCACGCCATTTTACCGGCGTTCAGGATCAGCAGGTCAATCTTCTCCACAGCTCCGTTCACGGCCTCTGCGAAACTGCGGACCGAGGCGAGCGACTCGAGGTCCAGCTGGAACACCTCGATCTTTCCGCCTGTCTCTCCGGCGGCCGACTCGATCTCAGAGCGCGCTGCCTCGCCCTTGGAGACGGTCCTCACGCCCATGATGACGTGCGCGCCGCGCACGTACAGGTCACGGACCGTCTCCTTACCGATGCCGGTGTTGGCACCGGTGATGACGACCGTCTTCCCCGTCAGCTTGATGTCCGAGCGATACATGGGCTTCCACGGCATGGTGGCTGTCTGTCACTGATTACCGTTCGGCAGCAGTCAATTCTAACAGTCGTCCCGTTTCAGACACAGCCCTGGTTACGGATACCAGTACCACCACTGCCCCAATACACACGAGCGTTACCCTCACCGCGACCACACCTTCTCCGTCGGCACGCGGACACCGATCTGGCAGGTGGTCGTGGAGCCACGCCGCGCGCCGACCGGCCGGACAGGCCGGACGCATGCGTTGCGGACAGGGGCGGCGCAAGCCAGCCCCGTGTGGGGTAAAGATAAGATAATAGAACGATCGATAACGATACACGATGACAGTCTCTGTCGTCGTTAAAAAGACCATCTAAAGAAAAATTAAGACACGCTTCACCAGTGACGTGAGACAGCAACGGACGAAGGACGCCAGTTTTACCGCGCCTGCTATCGCCCCTGGCATTGCATCACCGTCACCGTCTGGGAGGAAACGCCGCCGGTGCGTACTGCCCGGAGCGAGCTGTGGTGACTCTGCAAGGTCGAAGCCGGAGCGCCATTCGCACATGGGGGGGGGGGGGGATGGTGGCCACTCCAAGACGGGAAGAGCTACATGTCAGCGCGGAAGTGAGGCAATTGCGAAACGAGGAGTCATCATGAATGTCAATAAAAATTTATGACGACACACCATCATAGGCAGTTAGTGGCTGAGTTCATCGTGTCCTGTCGGGTCAGATTATTATCCCGGTCGTATAGCATCGATTGAATGCGGACTTCAAATACCCTGTGAATGATGCAAATTGCGATACTGGAGTGGCATTCGCATAGTGTGTAGTGGATTGAAATATCTTTAAAAGTCAGCAATTTGAGCTGTAATCTCATATCGTTCATGAGCATCACGTGACCAGTCAATCATTCATATCAGAACGTTTAACATGTTCTGTTGCGAAATGTTCTGCCCCTCAAATATAACACAGTCAGCATACGTGGAGATAGCGCAGACTGCGCCGCCAAGCCGGTTAAACTCATAGGAGTCCACTGAGCCTATCCGGTTCGGCCGGCCCGTGCTGGGGCCGAGAAGAACGGTAAAGGTAACCGCCTCTCGGCTCTGGGAACATGGGGAAAGACAAACCGCCGACCGCAAAGAGAATTAAGGGTTCGAACGGAGTGATCACAAGAAGATATAGTAGTTGACAGACCGTGCAGGGCCGGTATGAGTTTGCAAGTTGCAACTGAAGTAAACAGCAATCAATTTTAACTCCCAGTAGCGGACAGGGAAAGGACACATTAGAATGACAGGCACACATCTGCCCAACATTATAAGCTTCAGTCACAAAATGTTCCATCCCATCAAGGTCCCCGCACTCCTGACACCAAACACCTTCCGGTGATAAATGAATGGCCGGTCGATTGCGCCAGTTCCGTTAGCTTCGTTAGCAGTCGTGACAACTTGTCACCAAACAGGCGTCACAGACCAGTGGGATTGTGACCGGACGATTAGTGTGCACCGTTCCCAACAGCCGGCGGACTGCCGCGCCGCTCAGGCTCGACCGGGTGGTAGGTGTGTTGAGGAAACCCGGCATGTTGACATGATGACATGACTTCCGAACTGTCGAGAATTTTTGAAATTGCCAACGCTGTGCTGTATACCACGCATACGAGTACCACGCTAAACTGCTTTTTTGGGGTGAAGGCAGAGTGAAAATACACTTCGGGCCATCAGCTACAACACCAGCAGTTCGTTTTCAAACGTCAGACACATTCCAGTAGGGATAGACCCAAGATAGACCTGCATCGCATGTCGGTAACAGCGTCAAACAATCCTACGCTATCCCATAGCGAGCCAACGAGTAGCGATACCGCTGCGGATTTCCGCCAGTTACCCACAAACCGGACTCGCGAGAGGCCGCACAAATCTGCGGGGGGGGGAGGCGTCTTACAGAGCGTCAGATACACGATACTGAGCCGGACACAACACGCGCAACTAAAAGGATATGTGGACAATAGGCAATGGGTATAAATGACATCGTAACGAGCATACATGACGGAAGAAACTGACTGTTATCTAGGCCCTGTTACACAACACGCCTCTACGCGACCCTTCCGGGTAGCGGCGTGCCGTGAAAAATGCCATTATGGTTTAAAAGTGATAATGCCAATAGACTAAAAATTACCAAGCGGAGTGTCAACTGCCATGTTCTCTAGCCAGTCGGTCAACCAGCCCGAATCGATTAACCATTACCATGCATGAGATCACCATCCATGCCATAACTATGCATGGAAAATCATGCGCTAAACCTGACGAAACAAACATAACATCCGTCGTATTTCCGTGTCACCTTGTAATTTGTCATAATTACCGATGATTTATAGGACAGTATACGTTATATAACTCGCCACTTACTAACGATCCCTCACACACGACTAGAACTGCAAGTATCATCGACCAGCCATGATGCGAGCCCTCGCGTTTCTCCTGCCTGCCACTGTGCTAATCTTGGAGTGCGTGGCTCCGTCGCCTAGGTCACCGCCGGCTCAGCGGCGGGACTCTGACGTAAGCAGAGAGGTAATTGTGCGCCAGCGGAGATGTAACAACAAGTGTCGTCATATTGCTTTATCATAACGTTTATTTTGGATGTAGGTATAACATAGTCGGAGAAAAGTAGCAGTGTAGCTATTCGCTACCAGCTGGAACAGCCAAGTGGCTTCGCTCATAAAGAGCAGATGATCACTATGATGCAAATAAGTTAGTAAATAACCAAATCGCCTGCTCTCTGAGATGAGGCGTAAGACAACTGGAAAAGCGAACCATCTGTGAGTTACGCAGAGGTTGTCGAGGCATTTAGGCACAGCTTGTGGAATCTGAGAGTTGCCACAGTTGGTATGCAAACACGCAAACACGTCCGGGGTCATTTCAAACTTCGGGCCCGGTGGCCGTGTCCGATAAGACGACCGTGGCGCCAGATCTAGCCTTTATCGAAAAAAAGCGCCTCTCTTACATGATTGAGTAGTTATGCTTGCGTAAATCCTCAGCTGGCCACCCATCTAGAACGTTAATATCCGCACTTGACTTTGTTTTACCCACGCGATCTGTGACATTTGACATGTGACCTCTCACATCTGTGAGTTTGTCCAACCCTTGACCTGCAGTTGTGACCCCTGTAATCCGGTCCGGTCTGTGAACGATCTAATCCGTTTGACCAGTTTCCCCCCGCACGTTCCGTCTCAGTTGACCTGCTGTGACCTCTGTGAGCGGACGTGACGTCTGTGACCAGACCAGAGCAGCCGTGACCCACCTGAGTGGACGTCAGCCGGTACAGCAGGTCGTCCTCCAGCGCCTTGGTCTTGCGCTTGTTCTCCATGACTGCCTCAATGAGCGCCACGCGGTCCGACTCGAGCTCCACCTTCTCAGTCCGGATCACCCGACCTGGCGAATAGGGGCGGACGGAACGGTCAGCGGCGCACACTGGGATAACCGCAGACCAAAACCGCAGAACGGACAATCGAGAAATTCCCGAAGACGGCAATGACATCTGGGTTACATTGGCCCAGCTCATGCGGGGTATATTCAAGAGAACCATCCTATTTTTACTTTTAGTCCCATTCCCCAATCTCCCCCATTCCCAGAGTTCCCCACCCCCGCCCTCTCCCACCTCCGTCCCGCTCCTTTACCGAGCAGCTGGTCCTCCAGTCCCAGCACAGTGACGGTGAAGTCGATGATGGCCGTCTTGGCGGCCACCTCCGGGCTGTACGCCGGGTTCGCCAGCTTCGTCGTGATGTACAGCGTGAAGCCCGGCATGACGTCACACTCCTTGTCGCCAACCAGCACCTGGATACAGCGCCAGTGACGTCATACGTGACACGACCAATCAATGATCGGGGAGTGTGCACTGGTCGTTTGCGGGTTATAATGTCTCGTTTCACCAGTGAGCTTGATAAGCTGACAGGAAGCGCACAACCTCATTTGAGGTAATTATCACTCGTCTGTTAATGATAATTAGACGCCGCTAAAACAATGTAATTTGCACGGTGTAACAGCGAACATATTCATACACAGTGCGTTTCGCTTGAGTTATGACGCTTTCATCGATAATTATTCAGTACATGAGCAATTGACATAAAAGTGATTGAAAGTTTGGAGGAATGATGGCTTCTAGGATAAGGGTTCCAATAAAGAAGGTGCGTTTCAAGGTCTCGACTTCAACTTCTCATAAACAAACAATTTTAAAAAGACTGATCGCGAAAGAACGTGTAAAACGCGCAGCCGAATCCAAACATAAACTATTCCTGTAACGTAAAAAAATGGATGGCCTGCAGTACCAATGCTGGATGATGATATATGCTTCCAATGATGACATACTTGTGATTATATTTTCACATTGGTAACTGGGTTCGGCTATCAGTACTTACATCCAATACCCACATGGCTAGGTAAAGACCAGTAAGTTTATGAAGACGGAATCGATGTGTTGGTGTGGAGATGGATGAAGGTCATGCGGAGTGCATTTATCTGTACATTCATGAATTTTTATTTATGCCGAAAAAAACACACGGTAGAAAGATTCAGTGACAAGTCCAATTGAGCTTCATAAAGTAAGAGAGCAAATATTTTGCAAACGATCAATATAAGAACGCAAATTCATTCCGTATATGCAAATGCATTCGATCAAAGCCCGTCAATTCTGCGAAGCCTTATACAAATGCTAGACATCTTGCATCAGCTTAAATATATCACGATCTCTCTGCGATTTTTTCAATGTGAAGGTTAGAAAGTGATTAAGTATGCCATAACTGTTAGTAAAGTGAGCATTTCCTGAAAAGTCTCTTCTTTACAAACGTCATATCTACCGTTGGTTAAAGTGACTACCCACTAGAAAGATACGACAAATTATCGTCAAATATCAAATCAGTGAGAAATACTTACACGGTGAATAAAGAGCACAAATAAAACAACGTGAGAGCGAGCAAAACCGTGAGATGCCGATACGGACAAACCTGGACGTGGCCACCAGCCATTCTCATGTCTACCGTTCCCGTCACATTGGCGCTCTGGAAGCAGGTCTCTCAAGTTACAGACCGACAGGCATGCGTTATCTTGATAGAAGCGTCCTAGTTTCCCTAAACAAAACAACAACGCCGGCTCAAAAGGGTTTAATTCCAGCCAGGTTAGAAACTGATGAATAGGGCTGCACTAGTGACTCAAGTGTTAGTTCATATTTTGT